GAAGTAGAAGGGAGGAAGATCCAGTTGGAGGAGCTTTTTTGTTTGAGACAGAGGAGGGAAAGCTCTCTTTCTGGAATGACAGCAGAGGAGGAAGCAGCTGGGTACTTTCTGTGCCTCTCTGAGCTAGCAGGTTTTTACCCCAGCATCTGACTCCCAAGTCTTTATTGATAAAATAGAATGATAGAGACGTAGTTAAAAACAACATGCCTCCTGACAAATGAAATGCTCCTAGTCTTACTGATGGGGTTGGAACACAGTTTGAGCAAGTGATGTGGTCTGGTTGCTAATACCCTGGAACCACAGTAACAAATGCAGCCCTTTAGCACATATGTTGAGTGATGAGTTAAGGGGGCTGATTCTTCAATAATGAACTTGGGCAGGAAAGGCCTGGAGAAGTGTGTAAATGGCTAGATTCAGCTACAATCAGGTTTAGAAAATGGATAGTATTGAACTATAATGTCATAGTCACATCACAGTGACACTCAAGATATAAGCTACAGAAACACAAGCACTTATTATAAAAGTTTTTAATCCTAACAGCTGGGAGGCAGAGACAGGTGTATCTCTGAGTTCTGGGCCAATCTGGTCTATAGAGTAAGTTCCAGGACAGCTAGGGCTATACAGAGAAACTGAGACTCAACACCTACCCTTGTGTAAAAAAAACAAACACCAACAACCCCCACTGACCCCACAAAAAGTTGGTTTTTCTGTTGGAGGGAGCTTGTTTTGGGCTGAGCTACGAGGCAAAAAAGCCCACCTGACTTGCTTCTTGTTAGGGAATCTGGGGTGGCTGGCAAATGGCAGTTGTGATCTGAGTTTGACAGCCAGAGTTCAGTTTACAACAGTTCCCTATACTCTGGTTCCTATATCTGAATTTACTTTACAACACAAGGTAAATAAGTTCACCTGGGCCACTTCAGGGCAGCTCCAAGGTCTGCATTCTATTCCCACTTGCTAGGGACACTTCTCACTTGTTTTGTAGAGGAGCAGAGGAAGATGGAGATTAGTTATAGCAAATGTGTGAAAATGATCAACTAACTATTGAGATGCCATTGCCCAAATACATGGGTTTACAGAGGAAACTATACACTGGAAAGATATACACCAAAGTTATAGTAATACAGGTGGAGTTAGGGGTAGAAAGATACTTCAACATTTTTTTTTCCAATTTATTTTTAGGAATCTAAAGCAAATGCAAGAAAAGAACTCATTAGTCTTGGATGGTGGTAAAGATGGTGTTAGATGTTTTACAGCTTTTTGCTGTGGATATCGTTCTGTATAAATAAAACACTGATTGGCTAGTGGCCAGGCAGGAAGTATAGGCGGGACAAGGAGAGAGGAGAATTCTGGGAAGTGGAAGGCTGAGTGGGAGACACTGTCAGCGGCCACCATAACAAGCAGCATGTGAAGATGCCGGTAAGCCACGAGCCACATGGCAAGGTATAGATTTATAGAAATGGATTAATTTAAGATATAAGAACAGTTAACAAGAAGCCTGCCATGGCCATACAGTTTGTAAGCAATATAAGTCTCTGTGTTTACTTGGTCGGGTCTGAGCAGCTGTGGGAAAGCGGGTGAGAGAGATTTGTCCTGACTGTGGGCCAGGCAGGAAAACTCTAGCTACAGCTTTTAGTTCTGCCCTAAAATTGACACTGAAAGCAGCTCCAGATGAAGTGGTCTCAGGGCCAGCAACATTGGACTAATCACTTACTGTCTTGGTGTCTGTCTCTCCATCTATAAAATGGGGTGGGAGTTGACAAGATGGTTCAACAAATAAAGGTGCTTTCTGCCAAGGTTGGTGACCTGAATTCAATGCCCAGGACCCACAAAGTAGAAGAGAGCCTACACTCAACAGCTATCTTTTGACCTATACATGAACACCATGGCATATGCATGTGCACACACAAAATAAAACAAAAATTATATAAAATGGCGTGAGTGCAGGGCCTACCTATAAGGTTGTTGCACAGAGAAGTGAACATATGTCAATTAGAGAAAGCACTTAGACGTATTAAATCTCTAATCACAAGGCTTTCCACAAAAACTATGGCAGGAAGATAAAGTGGCCAATGGTCACAGGAACATATGTCTTCTTGGAGAAAACCCACTGAACACACTGATTACTTATGCACCTATCATACTGGTATGAGAAGGAAGGAGAGAGAGCAAGGGATATGTCAAGTCTACTATGAACTAAAAAAGATGTGCAGAGTCAAGCTAGGTAGCACATGCTCATAATCATGGCCCTTAGGAGGTATAAGCAGGAGGTGAAGGCAAGAAGATATAGAGTTCAAAGCCAGTCTGAACTGCATGAGATCCTGTCTTAAACAAAAAAGGAAAGAAATAAAATGTGCAGAGTACAAATGTAACCATGGAAATAAGAGCTTAAAGTGATGTGAGGGAGCCACAAACCAAGGAATACAGATGGTTTCTGGAGGTTGGAGAGATGTGTATATAATGTTTTTGAGGAAGACCCAAGTTGTTCACTGTCAGTCACTCCTGCTTCAGGAGATCCAACACATTCTTTTAGCCTCCTCAGGCACCTGTACACAAGTGCACATGCCTATTCACAAACACATACACATACACACAATTAAAAAGAAAACTACATATATAGAGCTAGAGAAACGGCTTGGTGGTTGAGAGCATACTGCTCTTGTAGAGGACCTGAGTTTGTTTCCCAGAATCTATGTTGGGCAGCTCACAACCACCTGTAACTCCAGCTCTAGAACACCCAACACCTTCTTCTGGCACCTGTACTCATGTGCTCATACCCACACAAATACACATAATTAAAAATAAATCTTAGCCAAAAGTGGTGGTGCACACCTTTAATCCCAAGCACTTGGGAGGCAGAGGCAGTGGATCTCTGTGAGTTCCAGGCCAGCCTGGTCTACATAGTAAGTTCCAAGACAGCCAGGACTACTAAAGAAACTGTCTCAAAAAGCCAAAAATAACCAAGCCATGGTGCAAACCTTTAATCTCAGTGTTTGGGAGCCAGAGGGGGGAGGCCAGCCTGGTCTTCATAGCCAGTTCGAGGACAGCCAGGTCTACATATTGAGCCCTGAACCAAATCCCCTTTCCAAAAACAAAACAAAACAAAGGAACCTATGGATTCTTGGAGAAAAGTATCAAAAAAAAGTAAAAAATAAATAAAATAATGATGTAATAACAATCTTTTTTTTTTTAAAGGACAAGGAAATAGATTCTGGATTCTGCCCTCAGACTTCCAAAAGTATCTAGCCCTACTTAAAATCCTTAAGAAGTTCTAGTAATTATTATTACTAAAGATTACAGCTACATTCTGAAGTACTTGAGGGAGAAAAAACAGATTTAACTTGTGAAAGTTGTGCTTTCAAGTAGTCCAGGAGGGGAAAGTAGAGTAAATAATTAGCAAGCGATTATGTGTTTGAAAACTTCCATAATTAAACTATGGGAGTAGTTAGTAAAGTAAGTAAACTATGGACGCTGTGGATGGGACTAAGTTACAGAGTAGTATGTTGCCTGGTTCCATCCTCTGCACAGTCATAAAATTAGAGTTCAGAGGGTTCAGAGCTGTGGATGTAGCCCAGTAGAAGTGGTGGCCTTCACCTGTAATCCCAACACTTGGAAGATGAAGGCTGGAGGATCAGGAATTCAAGGCCAGCCTGGACCACACTGCTGTCTCAAAGAAAAAACCTGGAGAAGAATATTGATGGGTTGCCTCATCTTTCCAACATAAGCCCTTTCAAACTTGTTGATTAATGCAAGAAAATCTAAGCCGGACAGTGGGGGCACACGCCTTTAATCCCAGCACTAGGGAGGCAGAGGCAGGCAGATCTCTGAGTTCGAGGCCAGCCTGGTCTAGAGAGTGAGCTCCAGGGCAGCCAGGGCTACACAGAGAAACCTATCTTAGGAAAAAAAAAAAAAAAGAATGAAAGAAAATCTAAGTAAACACACGGAGAACACTTTTGTAAAAGCCTGTCAGCCACCTGAAGCTCGCCCTTCTCTTTTATCAATTCTGCGGGGTAGAGAACAAGATGTGAAGGAGGCAGGCCACAGCGGTGGTCCTGTTTGAGTGCCCCTCATAACTAGTAGCAGATGGTTTTACCTGCAGTTCTCCTTGAAACGGCATTTTCCCTCCAGGAAGAAAGGGCAGGGCTTCAGGGACTTGTGGGTAGGGTACAGGTAGAGTACGCGAACACATGCCGAACCATCCTCTGCCTCTTCAGTGCCTACAACCATTGCGTTGTGATACTCTAGCGTGCCCCAAGCGCTGTGGTAAGGGGCATTCACTTTGGCACCACTCAGCTCCTCCTGATCTGGATCCTCCTCGTCTTCCTCCTGTGCATGGGAGGTGGGTCCCGGCCCCACCTCGCTCCCAGCGACCGTCTCCCCGGGGGCGACGGGCACCTCCACTTCCTCCGCCATAGCCTTCTGGAAAGCCAAGTACTCAACATCCTCCTGTGCTGGGTGCTCCTGGTCCACTGTAGCCAGCAGCTTGCTCTTCCTGACCGACAACAGGCTGGCCTCGGTGAGCTCAATCAACTCCTTCAGATCACCCTGCAGCTGGCGCAGGTCCGCCAGCTCGGAAGCGTCTAGGCCAGCACCAAGAGCCAGCTCTACCTGCTGAAGCTGGGCCCGGTAGGTCTGCAGGGCAGTCTCCAGGTTGTCTTCGTCCATCCCTACCCGCGCAGGCTAGTTTTGGAACCGCTAAGGCAGACAAGACCTGAGGGAAGAACAGTTAGCAGAGCTCAGGACAACGCCTCCCCACAACCTCCCGAGAGCCTGAGGAGGACCTCGGCTCTGCCAAGAGGGGAACTGCGAGTATCCCGCCGTGTCCTCTGCCGTCCGCAGCCCCGCCTCCCGCCGGTGCTCGCAGCCTACAGAGCTTCCGGCCTCGCCAGCAAAGCCCTCGCGCTAACCTTCCTTCCTCCACCGGCACTTCCGCCGAGAGCTGATGCTGCCGGAAGTGCCTGCGCTCCGGAGCGTCCAGGATGGGGCGCGCGGGGGCCGCCGGGATGCGGCTCCGCCCGTACTCGGACTGTCGGTCCCGTCAGGCACCGCGCGGGGTCATCCCGAGGTCGGTGGGGTTTGCAACGCGGCGTCGGCGGTTTAGTCTCCTAGGTCTGAGCAGGTGCAGGTGGGTCTCAGCTAGGCTGAGGGGCCGGGTTCCAGAATCCTGGGGTAGGGGGACGGAAGCGGCTCCGGCAGCTGGTTCCCAGGCTCCGTGGGCCCGGCAGCGGCGGGGATCCGAAGCCAGCCCACGGCGGAAGCGCTGCCTCTCTGGTAGCTCCCTAGACGGTCGCTGGCCTAGAACCTGTGCTGGGTTGAGGGTCTGGAAAGAGGAGCCCTAGAAAGGAGGACCAGGGTAGGCCGCCACGGGTTTTTCACGACTGATGATGTATTCAGAAAGATGACCTGAAGTGGGAGTGACCCAGGCTTATCAGGTGGTCAGCGGTGGAGGCAGAGTCAAGAATCTTACAGAAGAGGGGGGCAAGGAGTCACGAGCCACGAGGCTCCACATTTTAAAACTAGCAGGATAGACGGTTGATGAAGTGGGCAGGAGGTCGATGCCCCCGGTACACACCTTGACATTTCTCAGGGTTCCAGGGCAGGATGTACACGCTGCTTTCGGGGCTGTACAAGTACATGTTCCAGAAGGATGAATACTGCATCCTGATCCTGGGCCTGGACAATGCTGGGAAGACAGTAGGTGCCTGTTCTCTCACCAATTCCCATTTCCTGCCTTATGTTTTCTTATTTGGAAATCTAATCCCCACCCAAGACTACAGGTTAGTTGCCACCAGCCTGCAAAGAGCATTCTACAGGCAGAGGTTTGTGTGCATGTGTATGTGGGTGTGAAGGCCCGAAGTTGCCCAAAGCGTGTGGGGGTGTGGATACCCGAAGTTGCCCAAAGCGTGTGGGGGTGTGGGAGTGTTTAGGAAGGACATAAGAAAACTGCTTTAGCTGCTGCTGCTCACCACCTCTCTTTCTTTCCTCAGACCTTCTTGGAACAATCAAAAACACGGTTTAACAAGAACTACAAGGGGATGAGTCTATCCAAAATCACTACTACCGTGGGTCTAAACAGTAAGGAGGCACCTTAGGCATATGAGCTTAGGGGGGGTCCCTAAGAGATGGATGCTGCAAGCTCCACAGCCCAGCTGGCCAGTGGCCAGATCCCTGTCTCTCCATTCTCTGTTCAAGCCTGCTGGGATTGGTACCAGAATGGTTTGCCTCACTCCAGAAAGAGCTGGGACTTTGCATGTAAAGAGTAAGGTCAGGAGCTAGCTCATTCTGTCCTCTCCCCAGTTGGCACTGTGGACGTGGGGAAGGCTCGTCTCATGTTCTGGGACTTAGGTGGGCAAGAAGAGCTACAGTCTTTGTGGGACAAGGTAAGACACACTATCTGCTCCATGCAGTATTTTTCTAGATGGCCTCTTAGCCTCTTCCATGAGAGCTTCTGTTGTCCACATTTACCCTGGAGATTCTCTCTCTATTTATTGGGGGCAAGGGGGGGGGCATGTCACAGCATGCATGTAGAGGTCAGAGGACAACTTTTCAGAGTCTATTTTCTCACCTTTACATGGGCTCCAGACATGAAACTCAGATTCTCAGGCTTGCATAGCAAGCATCTTTACCTGCTGAACGATCTCATTGGCCCTGTCTAAAGGTTTTCTCTTCAATCCTATCCCAGGTTCCCAGGTTGCTTTCTGTCTCACTCTGGCAAAACCCAGGCCTAGAATCACCACAAAAGTGGCACCAGAGAAATTCCCACGGGGGATACCCAACATTACCCTGATGAGGCCAGTTTCATTCCCAAAGAAAGAAGCATTGTTCACCAGGGTAGTAGCCAGAGCACTGACTGGGGAACTCAAAGAGGACTGTAACCTATCCTCTTACAGGCAGACAGAAATGGCAGAGATCATATATAGGGAACGCACAAAGCCTTTGTTTCCTGGTGAGTCTGTCTACCTCATTCTAGCTTGTTATGGTTCTTCCAGATGGCCTCTTCCCCATCTGCGAAGGATGTTCTCAGACACAGATAGCACCTGCTTCTTCTTTGGGCATTGGTTTTAGACAGTTCTGAGACTTTTCTCTATATGCATTCCTACACTGGAGTCTCCTCCACCCAGCCTATGTCAGGTATTAGGTCCCGCACTGAGCAGAACAAGCCAGCCCTAACTTTTCTTGAGCCGTCTCCTGCTCTGAGGGTTCGCATGGTCATTTGGTGCAGCCAGTGCTGTGGTACAGGTGCCTTAGCTACTGTGCTGCTTCCCAGCAGCCAAATATTACAACTGAGGGCCAATTTTGTTCCCATTTCTCTTTCCTGGGCTTCCCTAAGATGTTTCTTCCTGTTATAATTTAGCAAGAGGGTGGCATCTATCCTATATCCAGAAGGTCTCTGATGGCCACCAGGTTGGACAGAGGACAGGCCTAATCATGGGGCACTGATGTACATTGGCATCCCCAAGAGTGCCATCTTCTGAGTCACCAGTCACAGTGCTCTTTGGGATGGACAACCAGAGTGAATATCTGAGCACTGCTTGGATATGTACTCTACATTGGGGAGTAGCCTCTTCTAAGAGGAGGGTAGACAGCAGCCTTGTTAACTGGTTGCAGAGTTGTAGTCATCTTGGCAGTGATGTCACTTCCTGGAGGCTGGCTAAGTCATCCTGTCTCCTGCCAATCGGGGACAGTTATCTTTGAGCAAAAGGAGCCCAATGTGCCCACTAGGTAGCCATGTTTGGTGACTCGGTGCTTCTGCTGAGTTTGTTGCTTTGGAGGGCAGGACCCATTCTCCCTTACCCCCCAACCCATATAGTACTCAGAGTTGTGAAGATGTGTAGCAGAGTTGCTTCTAGATTACTAGGAGGGTCAGAAAGAGAGGGGTCTCTTGTCTTGCCTTGGTTCATGGATACTGTGTCCTGTCCCAAACCTAGCACCTCAGAAATGTCTCTCATTGTGAGAGTTGGTATCTGGACCTGGTTCCTACTATAATGGTACCACATGGGCACTATGGCCCATTGCTGTCCTGTTATGGCCACAGGTGGTTTGTTGTGACTTGAGTCTCCCCTGCTGACATCGCTTGACATAAGACTGTGGCCTGGTATCTTGTGCCCAGGGAGTCTATGTTATTGCTAAGGAGACATGCTTGTATTCAGGTTCCTTCTCATTTCTTTAAGAGATGATACCTCATAGGGCTTAGCCATGCTGCCCTATCAAGTGAAATGCCTAGTAGGGGCTCCATTGGCCTTGGTGAATGGAAGCTATACTGATAAGTTTGTGGTCTGCCATTCTGGCCACTGCTCTTCTCAGTCTAGCACGGTACCACTGATTGTAGCTAGAGTTTTTCTGCCTGGCCCACAGTCAGGACAAATCTCTCTCACCCGCCAGTCCCAAGCCGCTCAAACCCGATCAAGTAAACACAGACACTTATATTGGTTTCAAACTGTATGGCCGTGGCAGGCTTCTTGCTAACTGTTCTTACAGCTTAAATTAATCCATTTCTATTAATCTATACCTTGCCACGTGGCTTGTGGCTTACCGGTACTTTACATCTTCCTTGTCCTGATGGCGGCTGGCACTGTCTCTCTCACCCAGCTTCTTGTTCTCTCAATTTTCCTCTCTTAGTCCCGCCTATACTTCCTGCCTGGCCACTGCCAATCAGTGATTTATTCATTGACCAATCAGCAACACATTTGACATACAGACCATCCCACAGCAACTGATGGGCAAGTTGCTCTGGACAGTGGGTGCTCTGGTGAACCTTGAGATAGATAGAAACCAAGTTGCGATGTCTGCTGCTTACATCTGCCTTAGGCTTGGTACCTACTCTGCTGACCAAGCAGTGTGCTGTTGTCTCCAGATCTGTGCACATGCCAGGCTTAGATCACAACTTCTTATATAAGCAAGACCAGGTGGGCTGCCTCTGGCCTGTCTCAACATGTCCAGCTGAGAGTGTTTCCTTATGCTGGTTGTGCAGGTCTCTTTGCACCTCCCTGCAACACATACTCATAGCCACATGTGTGACTTCTCTATTAAGGTTGGGTATGCCTCTCCCATCTCTCTGGCAGCTGTTGGACCCTATGCCTGGTGGATGTGATGAGTGGCTCTAGCTATCTGATTCCTAAGTCTTGTGCCTAATCACATAAGATGTTCGTAACAACCTTTGGAGCTGCTAGTGCTGCCTGCTGACCCACTGGGCTTGCTACAAACCTTATATCATCCACTATTACCATAAATACCTCTGTGGTAGGACCTGCCAGGATGAGTCTGGCTGCAAAGCCCTGCAGAAGGGACCTGGGACTAGCCTCTAGTATTCTGTGGGGAAGCGCAGGTCGGGAGGGAGTTTTACTGACTAGAGTTAAGTGTTCCTTTCTTACTTGTCACACAACCTCAGTGGTATACATCCTACCCTGTCTGCAGCACATTATTTTACTAGTCAGTGTTGACTTCTCACTGATTCAGGAGAGCCAGCATGGTCCTGATGTGAGGTGGCAGGTGTGTGCTATTTGCCCCATATTGACAGGCATTATTTTTCTGATTGGGATAGGAGCTCATAAAACGTCTCTATTACTGTGTGGATCTTCGTTTCCTATGCTTACCTTGCCCTATCTGTTTTGCCTTAGCAGTGCTGTCCATTCCTCACCCTTGCTGTTGAAAGCCCAGGACTGGCTACATCCAGCCTGCAGAAGCCGAGTTCAGTACTGTCATTTTTGTTCAGGCAGGGTAGCTTCATAGGCATTGCTGACCTCAGCCATGAGCCTCTTTTGGTTTCTCAACCTCTAGACTGTTTCCACCCTTCTCTCAACACCATATAGCCAGGGCACCAGGTGAGCTCTCAGGATCAGCCCCTGAGCAGGAGGAGGTTGATCACCCTGCCAGAGTCAGCAAGCCTTCCTCAAAGGTCCTATGGTATCTTTATCACTAAATCAGTCCCAAAAAGCTTCTTAGCAAGTCTTCCCACTGGGTTGTGCCCATTTCTCCATTTTTGCCCTGGGGTAGCAAAGTTCCCACCACTCACTGCCTCTCTCTTCCTCTTGTGGGCCTCTTCTGGTAGTTGTGACACAGGGTCTTGCTATCTAGCTGGCCCAACTATGAGTACCTCTAGCCCCCAGCTTCCTCCTCTTCCTTCTAGTACTATGCAGAGTGCCATGGCGTCATCTATGTCATTGACTCCACGGATGAGGAGAGACTGTCAGAATCCAAAGAGGCATTTGGTGAGTGTTCCGTGGCCACTCTAGGAAGGAGAGAAGATGGGAAGACCTACATCTAGGGAATTGTTGCGGGGGGGTGGGGGGGTGGGGTGGGGGTGTGAGTACCAGGGGGTGCTGTACCAGTCTAATCTGGATCCTCCTACATGTCTGGAACTTGCCTTGAGAGAGGCTGGGCTTACACCTGGATACCAGGGCTAAGAAAGCCTTGTTCATGTTGCTTGGGCTGTCTAGTATGTGAGGGAAAGGGTGGAAGGGAGCTGCCTATATACACCTTTGGGCCAGGGCAGAGTCTGCAGTCACAAACAGGACACAGGGTGCAAGGCACCACCTCTCCTGCTTTCCTCAGAGAAGGTGGTTTCGAGTGAAGCACTGGACGGTGTCCCCATCCTGGTGTTGGCCAACAAGCAGGATGTGGAGGTGAGCCCCACAAAGCTGCTGTAGGGCCTCTATCTCCGTTGCAAAGAAAGTGGCTTGTAGGCCTCCAGATTCCAGAACCTACTATCTATACCATTCATCCCAATCTCCTCTCTCTGCCCTTCTTGGGATCCCTACCTTGCCAACTTCAGTTCCTCTCTGGGTGTCACCTGGAGCTGCCACCATTAGAAGAGGCATGTTCTTACTAGAGGTTTTTATAGTTAGAGTGCAGATGCCATCTTCTTTCCCAAGGGAGGATACCCCCAGGGGTTCTGGGAGTATGGGGCTTAGAGCAAGACCCAGGTGAAAGCTCTGGGCTCAAAGAAGTGGATGTGGGGAGCCTCAGAGGTGGCTCAGTGATTAAGAGCATGTACTGCCCTTCCAGAAGACTCAAGTTTGACTCCCAGTACCCATGTCAGGTGGCTCACAGCCATCTGGGACTGCAGCGCCAGGGGACTCTGACACCCCTAGCCTTAGTAGATACCTGTACTCATGTGTACATACCCCTGCCCCGACACATACATATATATAATAAAAACAAATCTTTAGTTTTTAAAGTGGGGGTTGAAGGGGTAATACAATGGACATCCTCTGATATGAGGTGCTACTTGTCTTTGGACTTCTGTCCACATAAAGTCCCTACCATCTTACAAAAGGGGCTCTGTACAGAAACAGCTATAGAAGACATGGTAGCAACTAGTATCTGGAGGGCCAAGGAAGTTTTACTTTTCTGAGGCCCTGTGTATCTACCTAGTTACATTTAACATGACCTGTTCTCCACTCGTTTTCCTGAGGACTTCCCCCACTATTCCATCTGTGTCCCAAAACTAGTAATGGAGGTCTCTGGTACTTAACTAAGGAACTCAGAGCATTCCCTTAGATGAAAACAGATATGCCACTGAATAGTACCAAAGCTTCTCAACCCCAGGGCCATGGGCCCTTCCTCACTTGGCTTAGTTCAGTGTTCTGCTGGTAGATGCTGTGAGGGTTGTTCTTGGGTGGTGGGGAATATTCTCGAGAGCTGTAGATTCCCAAAAGCCTTGGGTAAAGCCATCAGCAGTAGACTTCGACCAGGTGCAGTAGCCTTACCACTGGTTTTGTACAGACACTGGCATTCTGGGCAGGCTCACCCCCACTGATTTTTTTGGGGTGAGGGACTATGGCCTTCCTGAAAGCCCAAGTGAAGAAAAAAGCTAGATGGAGCTAGGTGGTAGAAGTGTTCCTCAGAGTCTTACCTCCCCTGTCAGACCTGCCTCTCCATTCCTGACATCAAGACTGCATTCAGTGACTGTACCTGCAAGATTGGCCGGCGAGACTGTCTGACCCAGGCCTGCTCTGCTCTCACAGGGTGAGTTGAGGCCTCACTCTGCAGAGTTCTCAGGGCCAAGGCTAGCCCTGCCTCACACATACTGTCTCCACAGAAAAGGAGTTCGAGAGGGCATCGAATGGATGGTGAAGTGTGTCGTTCGGAATGTTCACCGGCCACCACGGCAGAGGGACATCACATAAGCACTGCCAACTTCAAAGTCTTGGAACTGTTCATCCCCTGGTGTTGGAAGAGTGCTCCCTGCTGGCTCTGTGCCACTGATGCTGGGGTTGAGCTGGCTTTGTTTGTTCATTCTTTTATTTGCTTTATGTTTTCTCTAAGACAAACTTTTCTGTGTCTGGAAAAGTGTAGGTATCCAGAGACAAACGTGGGGCATGCAGGCCATCCAGCTCTTTATGCCCTACCCCTTATTCCGCCCTGTCCCAGATCTGGGACCCTCTCAAACTAGTGAGGAGGGGGAGGGGTAAGACCACCCCTAGGCTTGCCTGTTAGCCCATTCTAAAGTGGAACTTGAGGGCATCCTACTTGAAATGGGGGTCTATCTGTGCCAGCTGCTTGTCCAGCTTGCCCATGGAGGTGGGAAAGGTCAGGACTAATCTCGCTTGGAGAAAGACGTAGCCCACATCCCAGAGGCCAGCATGGTCCCTAGTTGTTTTGAGTTGGGTGTGTGTGAGACGGGATTTCTCTGTAACCCATGTTAACCTTCGCCTCCTTCCCTGTACCTGTGGGAATTATAGGTGTGGGGCATTACAATCAGCTTTCCACTAGGTTTTGACCTAATCTCAGGACAGGGTTCAGTAGACCTGCCTGGGAAGTCTGACTTCTCTTACTAACCTATTCTCACTCTGCTTTTATCTCCAAAGGAGAAAGCTGATATAGAAATGCTTGGAGGTCAAATCTTGCTGAATATACATTTCAGTACACCCACACTCAGGTTATGTGGTATCCTGAGGTCACAGCTTTCACCAGGTTATTAGGTGTTGCTGTAGCTACTGCAGGTGTGCTGGGTCCCTACAGGGTCCAGGTCAGTGAAATGCTGGGTTTGCATCTCTAGATGGGTGTGAGGTGTGGGTTCCTGGGGGCCATGCCCACTAGACCCACTGGGTTAAATTCTTTCTCATGTGGCCAGGATAAGGTTGTAAAATAAAGACAGCCTAAGTGGTTCCTGTCCAACTATCCCTTCAAGCAGCCAAATGCTGGTTCCACACTGGTGCAGTGATGACAGCCAGAAGCTGCTATCCTGGAGTGCCTGCTAAGCAGGAGCTCCCAGGGAAGTTTGGAGCTGTGGCAAAGCCACAGATTCAAGACCTAGCAGCTCCTTGTCCGAGATCAGGTCATCCTCCTCAAGGGGGCCTGGGAAGGGTGACTGAGAAGTTATGAATCAGGAGGAGGGCAGTGGGTGCTCTGATTTAAGGAGAGGTCCCAACCCATAGGTGTCCTATGAGCTGGGTTGAGTCCTTCCTAGGGGATCCTCTAGGAATTAAATAATAGGTTGCTCCTAAGATGGGCAAACCAAGCAGAAGTCTAGCATGGTACACCAGATATCTCAGGTGTCTTTCTGGCCACCTTTCCTCAATTCTGTCAACACTGTGCAAGACTAGGGGCTTCATGGGTTGACCTTTGGGATACCTTATGGTAGACATGGAACAGATGGGCCTTCCTATGGATGGTGGTCCTCCTTGAGCTTGCTGGATTGTGATCAGAGCCACTACTTGAGAACAGTTGTTTTTCTGAAATGAATAGCTTTTTAAAAAGTAAACCTAGGAAGTGTTAAGGTTGGCGTGACATTGGTTGGCAGTGTAGAATAAAGTTCTGTGTACAGTGAAGACTTAGCCAGTCACAAGGAAAATGGTGCATTAGCACCTCTCCATATAGAGCAGCCTAGCCTTATAAAACAACTGAAGCAATTGTGGCAACAGTACTTGATCCTGAACATCACTCAAGTTGGAGAGCTGTTGGAGCTGCAGCTCTAAGGCCACCAGGGCCTCCTGTTGTGGCTGGGGTAGTGAGCTCTGTTTTCCTGGGTTTTACCAGGGCCTGCTATAGCTACCACAGCCCTTTAAAGGAAATGTCATAGAAAGTCAAAAAGTCCCTACAAAGAAGTCAGGGTAGGCCACATGGGTCACTAAATTCAGAGAGCTAAGGAGAAATTCCTAAACATTAAACAAGGCATGAAAGTAGGTAATAGGAAAAGTAGGAACAGAATGCCCATGGAAACAAGGGACAGGGCAGCTAATCAGAGAGGAGCTTCAGGCTAGACAGCCTAATGAAAATCCTGAGCCGGGCGGTGGTGGTACATGCCTTTAATCCCAGCACTCAGGAAGTAGAGGCAGACGGACCTCTGAGTTCAAGGCCGGCCTGCTCTACAGAGCAAGATCCAGGACAGACACCAAAACTACACAGAGAAACCCTATCTCGGAAAAAGAAAAAAAAAAAAAAAACCTCCCCCTGAGCTCTATTGTTGGAAAAGGTAAGGAGGGCCAATATAGGTGGGACTGAGATCTGACATTTCCTGCAAGGAGCCTCTCAAAAACTTAAGTCTGGGTAGCCTGTTTTTCATTATCAAAAAGCAGCATCACCTTGGGCTAACAGATATATACAGGAGTTCCCTTTCCAGGGCTCTGACCCTGTCCACGAACTTCTGGCTTACCCGGTCCTGGTTCCAAGAGGAGGAAATGGGCAAAGTTGAAAGCCAAATCTAGGCCAGGGCATAGCAGTTATGGTGAGGGTGACATTGTTCTGAACTTGAGTAGCTAGCTGAGGTGCCTGTAGGGCATAGGCTCCACTGAGTATTCCTGCTTTTAGGTGCCTAATGAAGTGGGTGGGAGAGGACAGGGACTACCTGGAGTCTACCTTCCTCCTGAAGCTTAAGTCCTAAGCTTCTGTACTCTCACTCGATGCCAGGCATCCACCAGGAGCAATCGTGCCAGTGCCTGATGGTGCTGTAAGAGCTAAGAACTCCCATGCTCAAGCTCATAGGGAAAGTGTGCATATACACACTGGACTATTTCATACAGATGAGACCTGGAACCACCCAGAAGGGCTTTGGGGCATGGCTGGTGGAAGAAGAAATCTATGAGAAGGATGAAGGAATGGGTCCCTATTGGTTTGGAAGCTAACTAGACATGGAGAACACTGCAGGTCTGTAAGAAGGGCTCTTCTCAGACCTTTGTCCTTCCATATATATATTATGGATTTTTTTATAGTGTTTCTCTGTGCAGCCCTGGAAAAGGCTGGCCTCAAACTCAAAAGACAGCTTCCTAAGTGCTGGGATTAAAGGTGTATACCAGCACCGTTTTGTTTGTTTTTGAGGCAGAATCTCTAGCTTTGGCTGTCCTGAAACTAGGAGAAACTCATCTGCTTCTATAGGGATTAAAGGTTTGTACCACTATACCTAGCACCTCCATGACACTCAAATTGTCCAAGCCCAGGACATAGACACCATCTTGACAATTGGTTTTATTGAAAAGCCCGTCCCTTTAGTAATACAGGCACAGTGCCAATATAGGCACCCAAAAAAAGCTCTGGCAAGGAGGCATCTAGCAAACCCACTCCATGCCCTGAAGTTTCAGGATTTCTCACAGGTAGGTTCAGATGCCACTAGATAGTCAAGTATGAGACTTGTAGTGGGTCAGCCAATGTCTAGCCACATCAGGGCTCCCAAGGTTCTCCATTTGTGTTCACTGGGGCTTCGGCCAGAAGACCTGTGCAAGGCTTTGCTTCCTATTAACAGCACCACAATCTGGACACGTTCTAGAGGCCTGTGGAGATACCTGCTAGGCACTGCAGCCTGGCTAAGCGCACACCCTATGCCCCTTAGCCCACCACCTGGGGAGATGCCTGATGGGTTGGAGAAGGTCAGACCCCAACCTTGAGTTGCAGTTGCCAACAGGCCCGACAACGGTAGAAATCACAGGAGGAGCACTGGAAAAGCACAGTGTCTTCAGCTGCACAGGCCGGGCACACAAATGCTGCTGCAGGAAGTCTAAGTGAGCACACAGTTCCAGTGGCCGGCCATAACCAACAGTCCCTGTAGCCCCTATTGCTTACTCCACTCAGGCTTCATATGCTTCATGGGCTCTGGGGTGCAATCATCAGACCTTACACTCTGGTCTGGCCTCTGTCTGAGGAAGGATGAGATCTTACTCTGGGTCTTCTCAGGTTTGCTGGACATTGAGGGACCTACAGATAGCAATGAGTATAAGAAGCTTATGTGTTTCTCTCCTGTTAACTCCTAGGTGCCGTGAGAGGCTCAGGGTGACAGGACAAGGGTGGAGGGAGTCCTCAAGTGGGCCCTCACCTGGTTTTGTGTCCTCATGGGCAAGTTCAGAAGGCACAGTCACGCTTTCTTCCTTGGGACCTGGCAGCTCCAAGCCCTTGCTTGTGGTAGGAAGGCCTGTCAGATCTGCACAGGTCTGTAGGAAGTGAGGCTTGTGGTGGGGACGCACAAACATGCCAAACCCTGTAGGGAACTTTTGCTCAGGCTCTGCACTTTTCATATACAGCCCTCACACCGCCTTTTCCCCAGAACCTATGCTCTACATCCAAGGACTACATACTCTGTAGCAGGGACAAGTGTTCAGGTTTTGCAGTGGTCAGAGCTGCTACCACAGCCAGCACCTTGCCCAGGTCATCATCCTGTTTATATGCCCTCAGAGCTGCCATAAGCTGGCTGCAGCCTGTAGATCCCAGAGCCTTTCGGACGTCAGACAGGTAGGTACTCACGGCAGGCTGGCCAGGTTTCTCTACTGTACACCCCACTTTTGGACAATTGTTGGGGTCTCCTGATGAGAGAGATATTACTAGGGTTCTAATGGCTGGGGAGTCCCTCCCCAATCCACTTCCTTCCAGAAGAGTCTAGACAAATGTGTTTAAGAGTCCAAGCAGTCCAACACGACTCTTCAAGGATTTTTAAGTCCCACCTGGGGTTGTTAGGAGCCAAGTACCTTTAGGGAGCAGATGGGCAGACAGGTGAGGCCTCCCCTGGTTCAGGTGCTCTCCAGGGTCCAGCTGTCTACCTACACCTTCAAACAAGATCAGTTTAGGCTCTGACTCTCTCCTTCCTGGAGAAACATGCTCCTGAGACTAGACCTCATAATCCTCAGACAAGAAGGGGACCATGACATCGGACACACAGCAGAGACCCACCGAACTGGCTTGGAGGGCCCAGACAACGGGTCCAGCTCAGGAGCATAAGTACAGACACTAGGAACCTTAATGAGAACCAAGCCCAAAAGGTGAATTCTCCCAATTGAATAAAGTCCCTCTGCTACACCTGCCCTGCATCAAGCAGTGGAACAGGTACTGCCTCTGTGAAGGGGCCAGCTCAGCTACTCAGAAGTACGACAGGTGCCCAGCTGCCAAGACTCTAGCATAAATTCTCTAAGGGCAAGTCTCTTGGATGCCTAGACAAGGAAACAAGAGTTCACCCAACAAATAGTGCTACCCTTGGGCAATAGAATCAGGGAGAATCATGCTTGGCTAATCTAGCCAGTCAAGCAAAAGCCTAGAAATGCCTACTATGCCCATCTCAGGTGTAAACTGCCCTTCAAATCTGAGATTGAGGGTCTAGCCTGGGGCCTTGCTCACTGGTGGAGTCCGCAGCTGACTGTGCTTGTTCTCGGAAGGGAAGGTCGTGCCCTGGCTGGTAGCCACAGCCTTGGCCGGTTAGCTGGAAGCAGATGTCTTCAAACTGCTGCTTGTGGTGGGGTCGTACAAACTGGTAGAAGTCTGTGGGAAGTAGATGTCTGAGTCTATAGGCTCTATACACTGTGATTGATGGGCTAGGGGCTCTGTGGACCATGGCCTACCCACCAGGCCCTTTCTCTAGGAAACAGAGACACCCTGGACCCTAGTAGCCCTCTTAAACAGCCCCACCCCACCACTGTGGTGTTATCCCTTTAGCAGAAATTTGAAGGTACCTTTAAATAGGATGTGCTTCTTGGGGTCTTCAGCAAAGAGGCAGGTGAGAGAAGCTACTAGGGCTTCAAAGTCATCAGAACCCTTATAGTGCTGCAGGGCCTGGGTAAAGGTGTTGAAGTTGGCTTGACTCAATGCTTGCTTCACAGCTACCATGAACAGCTTGGCTCTGTCTTGTGTGCCAGCCATCGGTTCCTTCTGCAAGACATAATCACAAACTCTATGAGAGTCAGCCCTTCCCTTC